ATAACTAACACATAATTCATAATAATATTTTCTTTCGCTGATAATTTTTTTCATTGTGAGCACTGTTGCTTTGTTTACGAGATAGGTACATTATTTAATTGTTTTATAAGATAAATTGTTATTAAGTTAGATTTAAGTTTTTTTATATAACCTCAATAAAAACTTACACGTGGGTGTGTAACAGAAAATAGTGAATAAAAAATTAATGAAGTTTAAAAAAGAAAACAATTTTACAAGAAATAAATTCTCTACTGATGAATATTTCTCTACCCAGGTTTGCCGCCATTATCTCAGAAACAAGTAAAATTTTTCGATGATACTATATTAAAGTAGAGGGCGAAAGATGTAACCAGCCTTTGCCTTAAATTGGGAGATAAACGGCCACATTGCCAATTTTTAAAAAAAAAATTCATGATTGTTATTTTCATGTATACGTTATTTGATTGTTTAATAACATGCATCGTTGTTTTCATGTTATATTGAACAGTTTCCTTTATAAAAGCTTATACGTGGTTGGGTAAGAAGGGCCAACTGGCGGTAAAAGTGTAAACAATAATGAAACAATAACAATAAATAAATAAAATAATTGGTATTCCAACTTTGCTGATGAATATTTCTGACAAAGTGCCAGGCCGAGGTTATTACGTTGGGGTCATTGTAAAAATGGGTCCATAAAATTTTTATTTAGCATTGGCTAAATAATGTAGCTATTATTTCGTAAAATTACTTTCAAAATAAAAAATAAGACTTGAAACTTTTTGCCGCCTGTCTGTTTTTTTTTTATTCCGCCTCGGGGGTAAAAAGGGATAGGTAACAAATTTTAGAAAAATAACAAACATACAGTAGAACTTCAATTATCCGAATTAATTGGGACAGGGACCCATTCGGATAATCGGAGTTTTTTTTAAAAAAATTGCCATTGGAGAGAAAAAGAGTTACGTTTTGATATTGCACTATTTTTTTATTGAATTAAATGAAAGAAACATGATATTTTCACTTGTTTTAAATAATAAATAAAATAAAATAAATGTTTTAAATAATATATAAAAGCCTACACTGGCTTCGCGGGTGGAAGAATAATAGTGCACTTAGACTTTTTTTGGACAATGTTTTTTCTGAAAGTGATTCGGATAATCGGCGATTCGGATAGTCGAAGTTCGGATAATTGGAGTTCTACTGTATTTCTATAATTGGGAAGTAACTGGGAATTTTACTGAATAGAGTTTGTTTGATATGTGTTATATGGTTTGATGTAACTTGTATAGTTTTTATAGTATAATTACTGAAATTCAAATTGGAACTTTGTGCCTTGCCCTATCCGACATGTGTATAAATTATACCACTTTGAGGCATTTCTATAGTTATTTTATTTTTGAACTTTTGAATTAAACATAATCTGTGAATAGAAAGGAACGAGGATAAAAAATAGACGGAATAATAATGGAACTGAATAAAAAATTGAAGGCTGCATTAGACAAAATGTAAGAGCATATATTAACGTGCATTTTTTTCACAAACGAGAAAAAACAATTTATCATAACTTTCAAACTACACAACAAAAAAAACTTATAAATATATGAATAAGCTATATAGAAGAGTTGAAACATGCAGAGTATCAATGATTCTACTACTACGACAATCCTTTCATGTGTCCCAGTGCCGTTCGAGCGTAGTCCCGTCGCCGTGAGGTTGCGTAGCGAGTGCTGCTTATCGCTTAGCGCTAGGGCAGGGCGTGGCCCGCGATCGAGTGGGTTGTGTGCTTGCAATGGCCTCTGGTTGGTTTTCCGTTCATTTAACGCGCATAGTATATATAGTACGGGCACGGTTCACGCCGCGCCGTTCAGGGCACTCGCTACTGCATTGTCCCTAATGGTATGCCCTCGATGCAGGCGATTTAGACCTTAGGTACTTGGTTCGGCAATTTTTTACGGGCTCTTATCTGCCCATTACAATTATCAATCAATTATTCGTTACGCGCACATGCGTTGGATTCATATCGAAGTATGAATATTTGCAATGATTTATAAATGTGGTGTTAGACCAATCGCACCTGGCTGAATTTCGGAAAAAATATAAAAAATCACTCATGTCGACATACTGTATCTAACATCAATCGCTATAGGGACGTGTTCTTGTTTTTACACTGATATTGTTTCTATTATCTAAAATAAAATTTAGTAGCCATCGCCTCAGATCAAGCAACGTCGCTATCATGAGATAAACGGCCATGATTGAAGATCTAAGTATAGCACAAATATTATCTAAGTATAGCACTTTCAATGTTAATTTTTTTTTTTTTGGTTTTGAGCACTTTTGTTTAGTTTACAGGGCCTTAATGTAAGGTGACTATATTTTTTTAAGTCAAATCCGTGACGGCAATTTTCAGTTATGCTAATCCGGGACGTCGGGGAGGGGGTGTATGTTTGTCGTTTATATAACAAATGCTATTCAAGGATACAATAAGAAAAGTTTTTTTAAATGAATCTTTTTTTATCATAATTGCGAACATTAAGTAAGAGCTTTATACTTCGACTATTATATGCAATACTTCTTTATCTATGATATTATATCTTATATTTTTCGATCTATATGTTCTATTCAATTTTTTTTATATTTAATTTGAAAAAAAATTGCATCTGTTAGTTTGTTTTCATAATTTTTGTTAATTCAACTATTAATTTTCGAAAACCCGGGACATCCGGGACAAAAAATCAAAATCCGGGACAAATTTCGCTTTAAGAAAAACCCGGGTCACAAGATGGAAATCCAGGACTCTCCTGGCCAATCCAAGACATATGGTCACCTTACTTAATGTAATATTTAAATATACGTTATTTATTTGTTTTATAAGATGTATCGTTAATTTTAAGTTAGATTCAACAGATGTCTTTATATAACCTCTGTAAGCAATAGCTTACATGTGGGTGGTGTGAGGACCAACTGTAACTTTATCCTAGCATAAACAATAAAAAATAGTAAATAATACGTAAATTTAGTTAAAAAGCAATTTTACAAAAAATAAATCAAATTCATAGTTATTACAACTCTGCTGATGGATATTTCTTACAAAATACCATATCAAGGTTATATGCAGTGTTATCTTTTTGAAAATAGTGAAAAATGTGCTTATAAAATTCATGTCTTGCATTGGTTGAATATTGTAGCTATTATTTTGTAAAATGAAAAATAACATTAGAACTGTTTGCCCCCTGGCTGCCCTATTTTACTCCGCATATGGGGTAAAAAAGAACAGATGACAAATTTTAGAAAAATAGTAAAAAAAAACACATTTCTATTATTAGAAATTTTGAACATAGTTCGATAGTTGATTGTGTTTGATTTGTGTTAGGTGTTGTGGTGATGTATTTTATTTGCCCCGGTCTACTTCAGTTTATTACAATAATATATATTCAATTAAATTGTTAACCTGAATGAATACTAATGTAATTTAAACTAAAATATAAAGAACTAAAGAAAGAACTTCAACTGAAGAATAAATTAAGTTTTATTTGCTTCACATTGAAACACATTTCTGAAAAATATTACTAATATTTTTTAAGCGTATGCTTCAAAATATTGAAAAATATTTATTCTGGACGTTTCAACACTAGATGTCATTATTTTGCAAGTTTAAGATATTTACCATCTAAATGAAACTACAATATATTAGTATAATAAAACGGTTTCGCATTACTATTTGCGAAATTGAGTTATTCAAGTGCTTAATCATAAAAATAGATATAAAAATAGAAAATAAACTTATAAATATTTTCTATAATTTTTTTTCCATTAGTGCTATAAATATTTTAATATAGAAATTATTTTATCCTGTTTTTGAATGTACAGCTATTATCTTATTAGATCAAGATTTATATTTTTACATTAACAAATTTAATGTGACAAATAAATATATAATATATATTTGTATTACATTATATCAAAGATTCAAGTCAATAAATAAAAAAGAATAAATTCATAAGACTTATTATATCATAAGACATTCCATTAAACCTTATATCATATTATTATCAATTGAAAATTATATAATTAACTAACAAGTTTTCCACTCGTAAGGCACATGTAAATTTTTATTATGTCAATTTTCCAGCCTTTTTCAGATATTATTGATACTTCTATAAACTTGGTGCGTCGCGACAGCCGATGTAAAATTTGTTTATCTAAGGTACACCGTTGGAGAGGGTATCGAACCCTCGAAAATTCTTTATAAGTTTCTTATATAATAATCCTGTTTTTCTTTTTAAATAGAACGTTTGTTGTTCTTCAAGCTACTTATGCCTATTCTCTGCCTATCATTGTACGATATTGAATTATTTTATGATTTTCAATTCCATTATCTGGTACTGGTACTGGTATGGTTTCAGAAACAAGTGATATATGTGTTGTGTGCTCTTATACTTTATGCTTAATTTTGTTACACTTCTGTTTAAATTTCATAAATATTTTTTCAAATTGTGTATTTTGAAAGGTGTAAAATTCTTTGTATAAAAATTTTCTTTTATTTGCCCTAAATGTGTATATATATTTTCCTATAAAAATCGCCCAATATTTACTATAAAATTGTAATTTGATATGTAGAATTACATAATTTAATAACAACTATGAAAATAGGATATGCAAACATTTTTTTCTATATACTTTTAATCACATTCTGTCATGATATGACATTCAGTAATTGTTTTCACGTTGTATTACCCAGTTGTCTAATCCAATTGTGACTAATTAACCATACTCGAAGTGTTTGTCAATATTTTTATTATACATGTAGTTATATCCGCGAGAGGCGATGAAGCTATATTTAAAATCTATAACCTCAAGTAGAAATTTGACATCAAAGCTGCCTGATGTCGGGCTTGGCTGTGGCCCTGCCACCTCTGGACCTTGCAAACGAAAATGCTAAATTATAAAATTCTCATTTAATTTTATATTTTGTTAATACTTGTTTTCATACTTATTTCTATTAATTGTTATTATTGTTTCAGGTAAAAATATGGTTTCAAAATCACCGGTACAAATGTAAGAGGCAAGCAAAGGAAAAGGCAATGGCAGAACAAAATTCGCATAATCAGGTAAATTATATATTAATTTAATCAATCATAATTAATTTTAATTTTCAATTTGTTTTGCAACTTAGTATACCATACTGTTTATTTCATTAAAAGAACTATTATTAGAAATATCAATTACTAGAATTATTATAAACAAAATAATCATTAGAAATATATCAAATCTTAATCAGGAAAGTAAAGAAAAATTGTCTTAATTGTAATAAATCTTATTACTGGATCTACGTGACGCATTTAGTTAGGTAAACAATTAGATATTTTATAATATCAATCATGAATTTTATTTTATATGGGAACTAAGTAGGAGAAGCTATTATTTTAAATTTTCATTATATTTAAAGTTATGTACTCCAACATTACTGTATATACTTTACGTAATATATACTTTCATATTGCTTTTAATATTTTAGAATCATTTTTTTTATAATTTTATTTGAACAGCAATCAGAACTAATGGGTTCTATGAGCTGTTGTGAGTAAGATCTTACAAACTACATTTGTTTTATTACAGATGGCAACCCAAACAGTTGTCACATCTTTGTATGATAAATTTTTATTACAATCTCTGTAATAGGGCAAGTATGGTGCAACAATGCCGGCTGAGGGCTATTTTCACTTGGAAACATATTGCTATCTATATTTCCAAGTGAAAATCGTTGTCAATGCTGCCTGACAACAGGCTGCTCGAAATGGGTATCGAACCCGGGACCTCTGAAACAAGTCCCGTCTCTCTTAACCACTTACCTACGGGCGAGCCCATTTTAGAATCATAGCTTTAAATTCCAATCGATATTTGATAATAGTCTAAAAATTTGCTAAGATCAAATTTTCTTAGCATACCTTTATCTTATTTTTTATGTACTTGTATATAGAAGTAAATAGATGTGGAATTTGGTAAATTTTTACATGGTGGTTCCAAGAAGCAATTTGACATTTAACAGCCTGATTCTTATTGATTTATGCCATATAATTTTTGTTGTTACAATTACAACTACCTATATAAATAGCGGCCAAATTGTTTATTTCTGAATTGCAGAGTGTAAGTTCCCCTCGACGAGTGGCCGTGCCCGTCCTGGTGAAAGATGGTAAGCCGTGCTCCAGCGGCAGCAGCAACGTGTCGTCTGGTACGATAACGACCTCGGGCGTCATTCAAGGCGGAACTGGTGTTCTGCATCATGGCGGCCAACTGCAAAGTACGCAGGATGGGATACGCGGCTCCACTAACAATTCCCATCCTGGTTCGCATCACAATTCCGGTGCCTCGCCAGGAAGTATGTCATATGGAAATTCATCAGTATCCCAACAACAGTGCACGTCGTCAGGAAGTGGGCTGGTGTCTGGTGCGGTCATGGCTGCAGCTTACAGGAATCAGAATAACTTCATATCCACTGGGCACCAACAACAGTGCACGGGATATGTGCCTCTTCAAGGGAGAGCGTGGTAATTTTAGTACTGATTATTTATTCGAGGTAATTATATAAACAACGCTGGCAAACGTTTTATTTTATTTATATTCTTTATATTAAAAATTATCAAAATCCGATAATATGAAATAGCGTATGATTTTGCATAGTACAGATCAATTATTATAAAATCGTGTGTTAAAATATAAACTCAAGTCCTTAGAGTTTTTCATGAAATATAATATAAAATGTTTGTCGACTAATTATTTTTAAGTATTATATGCATGAGAATTATATCTGCAATATTTATCTATATTTTGTATTATAAAATTTTATCGAGGATATCTGTATTAACCCGAACTTTTGATGGTTTTGATACATTTTGGATAACAAGTTCCGTACGACAAACGTAATTTATATGATGAGCTCAGCAATGCAGGGATCTCTAAAATACCTATATCAAATTACTTACGCCACACAGCAATAGTGAAGCAATTAATTGTAAAACAAACATTTGACGATCAAATATCTAATAAAATAATGAGGTCTGTATTCTAATACTCTCGTATCAGGATACTTATAGTAGTCACAGATAACTATGAACCAAGCAAGTGAATTCATAAATACTTTATGAAAATTAACCAAGGGAATCGAATGTATTCACTTTTTCTCAGTAAAATGTATTCAAAATTCCTCTAGAATTTCAGTTCACCAATCACAATATTGCAGATATAGTAAAATTGCATTATATATATTTTAGATATAGTTTCAAAAGAACTATAATGTTTTATAATACTACTACTGTTTCATTTCTAATTGAATATATAATATTATGGCATTAATAAACAATTATTTATATTGTATTATTTTAATGTCATAATGTTTATGTTGAAACCAAATCTTAGTCATTCACATATTTCGATTTATTGTATTTTAAGTACAAAGAAATATATTGTGTATATATCATAATTATTACTAATATTATTAAATATTATTATTATTGAACTTTTATCACAGGAAAAAGGCAATTAAATTGTTCTGTAAAACTGTGAGTTCAAGCTTATAAAAGATTATTTATTTATTGACTAAGGAAACGTAAGGAAGAACTATTGGCGTAAATGGGACTAAGTTCCTAAGAGACGTGGATTTTATCAGTGATTGCCATGATCATTTTACGAGGTCAGTTCTATCTATAAAGTCTGTTACCAAACGCCGGTTTGTGTACGTTGCATTTATAATAACAAATATTTTTGAATTACACAATCCTACCGCAGTTTTGATTTTTTTAAATCTTCTGCTATTTACTATAATATTTTTTCCATACTGGTTCTCGATGGAATCGATGCAGTAATATTACATGCTATTCGCACAGTTACACTAAAATTGCACGGACTCCTATATATTTGGCATACAACTTCGAAATAGTTGAAAATTATATAAAATTTTACGTAAAGCAATGTTTTTAATTTCAATGAAGTAACCGTATATACAAATCCTTCTCGCTCAAAACTCGCGATTTGAGCAAGAGGGTCCTAATAATTTAGTAGAAATGTATATTCATTAGGTAATTGTAATTCTCTGTAGTATTAATTTACATATATATATATATATATATATATATATATATATATATATATATATAGGGTGTCCTAGACCTTAACGTTAAGCCGAAACGGAGTAATAATATTTACATTAACTGTCCTGAAAAAAATTTAGAAAAAAAATGCTGACGTTGTTTGGAAATTATATACTTTTAAGTACAACCTAGAGCTTTGGTAAAATTAAGACAAGTTTTCGGTTAACATTTACTAATTTTGTTTATTTAAATATGGAACCGTAACCGTAATTCATTTTTTTAGGACCACAGTGAAAAAATACCACAATTGTCCCAAGTTTTCAAGAATTAAGATTTTTGTTGAACTATGAATTTCAAATTTTTAAAATCGGTCGACTTTGAAAGTCCTTCATTTAAAAAAAAATACTAATGTGTGCTGGCAAGTTTTATCAAATATTGGCGCATTTAATAAGGATTGTAAAATGATAAAATACTTGATCATTTTATTATTAAAAAAATTTTGAGTAAAAAATAAAAACCTGAAAATGTATCTCTCTTGCACGTTTAAGGTTGCGCGTACGGCAAGCATTTGAACTAATTGTGAGTAAAATGTACTAGCAAAAATTGTGTCATTTTTAGCTTTTTATTTTTTTTACTTAAAATTTTTCAATAATAAAATTATCAAGTATTTCATCATCTTACGATCCTAAATAAATGCGCCAACTTTTGATAGAACTTGCCAACGCATCAAAGTCGAAAAATTGTCATATTTTCACCAAAGCTCTAGGTTGTACTTAAAAACTCATAGTTGCCAAATAACGTGATATTTTTTATAAGACAGTTGAGCTCAATGCTATCATTCCGTTTTGGCTAGTCGTCAAGGTCTGGGACACCCTGCATATATATTTGATATATATATATATATATATATATATATATATATATATATATATATATAACGCTTAACTTGTACAAAATTATACAGGGTCAATTTACTATTCATTTAATACTCACATAGTACAATTTATTAATTAGATATTTAATTTAATTCAAAATTTAACGTAAGCGTGTATTTAATATTTGATTATAATTGTTTTGTAAATTATATTATTATTAGGACGTTGTGCTGGTTATATGGATATAGTTTTAATTATTATCTAACAATAAGTGAAATAGTCTTATGCGGCGATTATATTATAAGGAATGATAGCTGATTCACAAAATATGACAATGATTTATAAATAGTGATATATCGGAAATGTGAAGGATCTAATTCAAGCACAAAATGACATAAAACAGTAAAGTCAAATGGTTTGTAATACTATATTCTGATATCGGCAGAAATATTTTTTGGCTGGTTCTGTTCGATTCTCATTGGGTAAACTAAAAAAATAGTTTAATATTTTATCTAACGCTACTCATTACATTGATATTGATTGATTACGTTTTTTCTTGCAAATAGTTAGAATTATAGAAAAATGTCAATTACAGATACTTGTTTTTAATTTGCTAATGTTACTAAATTAAGAATATTTGTTTGTTTTTTTTTTAACACATTTTATACGATGGCATATTACAATCTGATTCTAATATCGTAACTAAATCTATCACAATGAATATCTATTGATATCTGTTTACGTATAATATGAACTTTAATGTACTGATAAAAACACTCCAATGAATAACATCGTTTTCTGAAGATTAAATAATAAAAATTAGTTTAAAATTATATTTACACGTTCATGCATTTATTTTAACGTTTTAAGAATATTACGCTATTCACAGGTCGTATTAGTTCTTAATTGCAAAAGTTTTACGAAATATCTCTCAAACGGATAATCTTTTTATTTATATAATAACGTGATTTATTTATTTTGAAATCTTACATGATTTATGGTTTTAAAGTTTGGTAATATTTTCTCAAATCCTGCTTAGGCAAATTTCGACATTCTTCCTGTGTGTATGTACATCTATGTACCAATTGCATTTACCATCATAATATTTCTAAAATATTCATTTTATATGGTTGAAACAATATTTCAGACCTTACCCAACTATAATGTTATTTCTTATCGATTCCGATCCATTACTATTTAAAAATTATATAGTCAAGTTTTCTGAAGAAGATACTTATAATACTTGGTTGTAAAGCAGTTATGAAATAATGTAAATTAATTTTAAAAATGTACATATAATTTTATAAAATAACTAAATTTGAATGTAAATAGATTGGATATTAAAATAAATATGTGTATTTGATAAAAAATATATAATAATGAATAAAGAATAAATGTGGGTGTTATTATTGGTAAATATGAGTTTCATTAATCTAATTCATTAGAAATTTTATTCAAGTATTGTTTGATATTACTTTATTTCAGAAAAAGTGATAGTGACTCTATTAAAGCACGACAAAAATGTTCTCACAACCAAATAGTTGAAGTGATCAAAAATAAGGTAAATAGTTTCAATTTGAATTGATTTTAAGTTCGAACAGATATTATTGTTTTTTTTTTTTGCTTTTAGTTATGATTCATTGATAACATGCTGATTGTTTAAGAAAAATGTCTGTGAATTAGCATAACGACTCGACCAACGACGAGCTGATAATTGTGAGTATTATTCGAGAATTACATGATTACATCATAATTAAATATAATTTAAAATATTGACAATTTTTAATACATTTGAAAGGAAATTTTTGTTTCTACATCATTTACTCAACAAGTAATGTTTTGATTGAAACGGACTAATTTTTATCTAGACTACTTTTTATCTAGTGGTTTTTCTAACAATAAGACATTCAGATAATCGAAAATGTCGATCATTGTATTTAGCAAGAAGTACGTATATTTTAATATAAATGTAATAGATGATTGCTTCCAATAATTCATTTTTTTGGGCGTCATTTGTTGAAAATACATTGTTGAGCGTCATTTTTGATTGGAGACAATATAATATATTGAATTACTAAAATACTACAAAGTTATTCATAAAATAAAGCATGCAAGTGTTTAGTTTAAAAACTTACTTATTTCAGAAAGCAATTTTGAAATAAACCTGATGAGTTAAGAAAATTGTTAGACAATCAAACTAAGAAAAAAATGATTTTTCACATCTATCGTGTATTAGTTTCCGTCGGTCTTTACCGACTTATGCCTTTATCATGTTCCCATCGATTGGGCTTTTTCGTGGTTTAGTGGTTAGAGTTAAGGGCTTTCAAGGTTTGATATCCGCTTCGAACAGCTTGACGTCAATCAGTATTAACATCGATTTTCACTTGGAAATATAGATGAAAATATGTTTCCTAGTACAAATGATCTTTAGGGACATTGTGGCAATTAGAAAAAAAACTGTGGGATCTCTTCTAATAGCTTCAAGTAATAAGATAAAGATAGTAAATATGATCAATGGATTGCATTCTACTAAAAACGTTTTTTTTAGAAATAATCAACGCTCAATACAGCAAATTGTTATGACTCCCGT